TTGAGTTAGCGGTTCGCAGCTGACAGCAACAATTGCAAACGAAAAAAATCGCCGTGTGTAAATGAAATGAGCAACACCAAAAGTGAGTATGAAAAATCGCGTCGACAAAAGCTTCCGTGTATAAAGGCAGACTAAGGCAGAACAAAAATTCACCCTCTGAATCCTTCCATTTGGCTCTTGTTTATCCTCAATATTGCATCTTTTAGCTAAGGATATTGGCAACTCTGCACACGGTTGCAAAAGTGTTAAAGCGCAGTTAGTCAACGACGTAGCGTAAACTTAGGTTGACGTACGTAGCAGCATATCAAATTTACTGTTGATAGAGAGAGAGAGAAGCAACGGCAACGTCACCGCCATGCGGTGGTGAGTTTTCATTAACACGCGAATCCCATAAGGTAGATCGTGTCTGCGTCAACCTACGTCTGCGTTACGTCGTTGACTGTTTGAGCTTTTATGGTCTGATTATGCATACCTCGCATAAACTTTTAACTGTAATTTCGTATATACTTTGTATGTATTCCATTACCCAAAAATTAGCAGAACTTTTAAAAACTTAGCGATCTGTTGAGTTTAGATTTTGCTTCACATTTTCCTAAGTTAAATTTCTATTGCACTGGTACAAATGGTTGTGCGAAGTTATGGGAAGTACGCATAATCAGACCTTTAGGGTGGTGTGAAATAGCAAGCTTTGAACCGGATACTACTTTGTTCATTGTTACTTTTCAACATACAACTTACAGAAAGAACTGGTACACACATAGAGCTTTTGCCGGGTTAAATCTCGCATTTCACTGGAATGGGTTATCACTGGCGATGTTGTTGTTGTGACAGCATACAAATTCCCCAAAGAGTTTTAAGCGAGTGTTGCAGGAGTGACAGTCCTTGACCAGATATAAATCTTCCGGTGGTAAGTTTATTAACGCATTTGGACTCCCTCATATGTATATATATTATTTAGTTTTTTTTTTCATTTTGTTGATTTGCGCTCCACTAAATTGCATGGAAGCGAAATAAGAGATCAGTGAAGTTTCAGTAAAATATATGTATATGTATTTATTTATTTTAGGCCATTTAAATAGGAATCAAGTTTCGCTTACATTAATGATCATTTCTTGGTCAGTCGCATCTCACATGACGCTTTGTTAAAATTAAATAATATTCAAATAAAAAAAAACCTTGTAATACAAAGAGCATGTAAATGCACTTTTAGAAATTTTGATCAAATATGTACATTTACACATGTACATATGTTTAATATTACAATAAATTAGTGTATACTCGCAGTAAAGAGGAACTATTTGTTGTTATTAAAGACGTACGCTACTTGGCAGGATTTCCAAGTAGGCATGTAAGTCTACTTTGGTTGCAATTTTTTTTTTCTTTTTTTTTTGTTGACTAGATAGAAGTTTACTCATAACCCTTTAACGGATATCCGCCATTGAAGGCCTCCACAGAGTTGATGTTGCGATTTTCGATTGCACAATATCCGCTGCCACCTCTAATGTAACTGGTATAACTAGAGCATGTAAGAAAATCATTAATGGTTAAAAAACAACAGATTTTAAACAATTGACAATTGTCTTCCTTACACATTAGAAAAGTACTCGGAAAATGAAGGTAATACATTTGGAGCAGTGTTGCCAGTATTATCATTCTCTTTGCCTTTTTCGTTGATGCCGTGGTAGCTATCGTTTCCAACATAAGCAAAATCTATGAATGTGTCTGTTGGGGGTCGAGGAGCACAGATGTTTGCTTCTGTTGGGGTAATTTGAACACCGCAATTGAGCGACTCTTCTTCGTATGCAAATTCTTTGTTGCAGTATCCGAACACCTCCGCTTTTACAGCACTTTTCTCTTTGTCCAGATGTGGCGTGTGGTTGTCGTTGTCATTACACTTTGGAGCAGAATCATCAAAGCGCCAGCCTTCGCCATCAATTACATATCCGAGGCGTTGTAAGTAGTCGGCAACGGTTTTTTCCGATAGACTAATAATTTCCGCAATTTTTCTTGTAGTGAAATGAGGATTTCTTTCAATTAACATTTTCACTTTATCACTATCTGCCACACCTGGACGACCAGTACGTTGTCCATCAACACAACTTGTGTCGCCCTTACGAAATTTTGAAAACCAAATTTGGACCACACGCTCACTAACCGCATCCTCGCCATATACTGCGCAAATTTTCCTTTTGGTATCAGTGGCTGTTTTATTTTTTCGAAAATAGAAAAGCATCAAACACCGTAAATACTCTTTCTTCTTTTCCATATTTTAATAGTTATGTATGAATAATGTAAATTTCACAAAAGCAATAAAAAATAATTGCAATAAGATAGGAGAATGATTGTGGCTGAGATGAAATACGCCAAACAACTGAATCAAAAAATTAAGATTTCTTTCTTGCTGGCTCGTTTCTCGATATCATTGTAATTAGTAAAAAAGCGAGATTACTTTTTTTCTACCCTTATCTACATAATTCCGTCTGAGTTTATGTTAGGAGTACATGAGCACGTACCTGCTTTTGTGTCTCTTTTTTTTAAATCATAAACAATACCCATGCGGTAAGATTGTATAAAAAGTGACGGTGGAAGGGGTAGGTAGTTAAATAGAATGCCTGGCTGGCTGCCTGACTGGCAGGCTGGGACACAATTATGTATGTAAAAAAACACCCTTGCGAGAGATGAGAGCAATTTTTTGTATTTGTGCATGGGGGTTCGTCTTGGGTGAAACTTAGGGAAACAACCCCGAATGAGTTCAATTGATAAGCGGTGGTGACTTACACAGAATCGGCAAGTGTAAAAGAGGATGAAAAAATGCAAAAATCGCGATAATTAATTTCTTTTCAATGCTTTGAATAAAAATTGATGCTTTCACTTTGAATAGGTACATAATACATACACGTACATATGTATATTTGAATGTAGATACATATTCGTAGGTGTATGTATATTTGCGAGTCACTTCTTACTTAAATATCTTATGAACATTATGAATTAAACGTTGGAATATGTGTTAACGCTCTTGATCCAAATAAAAAGAAATTTCAGTTGCTTTAAACAAATAAGACTAGTAAATCATTCCGAAAAACTGGTACAGCTGTTACTATTACAACACTTTAATTTAAATTTTAAACTATGTTGTATAAAAGCAATTATCGTCATAAATACTAGGGCTGATTAGCATTTTAAAATTTGAGCAAATGTTAGTGACTAAGGCAACTAAGCAATGTTTTTAAATAATTCGATTCTTAAACATCCCTTAGTACGCATCCAGCAAAGATTTAAGCCATATATTAAAATGTACGCGAGTTGTTTGCATCTTCAGAAAGGCTCTTTTGCATATAGACTCATACATTTCTCATATATAAACATGTGTATGCACATAAACATAAATATAAGTAAGTACATATGTAAGTTTTAGAAGATTTAATGCCCACGAATCGAAGTGCATACATTCAAACATACACTTGTATATTTATTACTGCATTACATAAGTGTGTATCTGGTTTTCACTGCCACGAAAATACTTATTTAAACAAGAGTGGTTAATTTTTACTCATGTATGCATTTGTGTTTAAATACTTTCCTATGTATGTACATATTTACAGTTCTTAAATGTGCTTAGAGCAATTAAAGTATTTTTTTCTTTCAATTTTAACTTAAATCCATAATTCAAAGGTACAAAATAGAGTATAAGGCATAAAGTATAAAGTAAATAAAGTTGGCATGAGCTTAATACTAACTATTTATACTAAAATATTTAACAAAACATTGTTTAAATTAACCCACTATTGAAAAAAGTGCAACTTAACAATTCAATTGAACTGTGAGTAGATAATAAAATATCTAGACCAGCTAGATATCACCGAAAGGGTACTGCTATCAAAGTTTTATAGAGCGGTCAGTATTGAAAATTAAATTCAGGATGTAAAAACTTGAACTTCGCTATTTCTAAATTAAGCCAATTGTTATTAGTTTGATTGTGCGATTGTAATTCACGATATACGTTCTGCAATACATTAGCCACATCTGAAAGGACTTCATTACATTTTATATTTCCTCCAGATATACTGAAGGTAGATGTACCATGCCCAGAAGTTTGCTTTGCATCAATTGCGGAACCAAATCCTGAAGATTCTGAAAGTCCCGACGGTAATGCATTTACAGAGAGATCAATTGGCTGTATTTCGGCTAGTAAAAGTTCATTCTTAATAAAACCCAAATTATTACAATTGACATTATAGGGCCTGCTATTAGCACCTTGCCTAGCATCATAACTGCTGACATCACTTGAGCATGGAGTTACAGCGCTCACTGTAGTTGCACGGCCGAACAACGACTGATCACTATTGATTGGATGAAGTGCCGCATGATCATCATGTTGAGTTAAAGCGAGTGGAGTTAATTGTGAGAGTGAATGTTGTTTTGCCGAGATGCGATTAACTGTTCGATTGTTATTGTTTTTTTGGGATGCCAGTAATTCATACCCCCGTGCTTGCTCGCCTGCTACCATGGTCACCTAATATATATTTACACATGTATGTATATAATTCTTTAAAGGCAATGCATTTCATAAGTGCTTTACTCACTGGCATTTCATTTACATACGAATTCGTAGTTGTATTAGCTTCTTTTATACCGAGCTCTGAAGCTCTCTCTGTATAGTTGATATTAACAACGGTACCCTCACTGGTACATTCCTTTAGACTATAATTGAGTGGCTGCTCATTATATGTGTCCATTATTGTGATATTATGTGCTCTTTCAAAGGCAGGTGTAGTCAGAAAGTGATCGATCATATTCCACTGAAAGAACGAGAGTGAAAAAGTTACTGTACAGTATGAAATGCGGGAGATGAAACCACCAACAAATATACTAAGTGGAGCAGCTAAGTGTGTACATATGTGTATATGTAGCTTCACTAACGAAGCGCTGAGATATTTTAACGGTTCGCTATGCTCTAAGTATTTGCCTCTAGTGCAAATGCATGTATGATTTCAAGTGAACGTAACGGTTTCTTTTTAGTATTTACTATAGGAATACAAATTCTTTTTCTACTTATGTTACACATTGAGCGCTTGAAAAATAAAATGGACCATATTACCTTCATTTTGAATGACTACGTTTTAATGAGCATGTTTTCTAAAATGTCTCACCTTATGCATATTATCGGGGCTTTTTTCACTCTTAAGTTGTTTTTGATTTTGATCTTGTTGATGTTGATTTTGCTGCTGCTGTTGTAGTTGGTGTCGTTGAAAGGCCGCTTTGATCTTAAATAATTCCAAAGACGGTTGCGACGAACATACCAAGCGTTGTCCACTGCGCGATGTGGCCCCTTTCCTGGCAATGGTGTTGGTGTTTCGACGCCTAGTAGATTTACGATTTTTCAGAAAGCGATCTCTACGTTCAACCAAAGCGTTTACTTTCATATCATAGATTTTCGCCATTAAATCTGGATGGCGCCGCTAGAGTATAAAAATACATAAATTAACCAGTTAAGAACTGGGTTGAAAATAAATTAAACATTTTGGTTATTGCTTACCTTGATGTGCATGTGAAAATTGCCTGTTGAACGCACGCTACCCCGATACACACGATCTGGGGGACAATTGCAACATTTGACAGTTACATTCTCGCCGTCTTGCGTCTGTATTTCAAAGAGCTCCCCATTCAGGATGTATGGAATATGAATATTGCGTGGTGCGGAATCGGCTGTAGGAGTGCTGTTGGAGGAAATTGAAGTATCTGGCAAAATTTGTGGTTTAGTCGAAGATATGCTGCCCAAAAGCGCATTATTTGATATTTCCAAAGCACACTCCTTTGCTACTGACTGAGTTTGTAGATCGTGCGAAAGATCATTTGCTTCCATTTTATCTTAGTGATACCGCGCACTTTTAGTGTGGATACAGTACAAAATACGCGCGTAATAAATGATCCGCACTATATGAAATCTATTTACGGAATGAAGCTTTGACGATGCTCCTTGTTTTGCACCTTGTGACCTTGAGCTACATTTGTATGTTTGTATGTATTACAAAGTATCCGTTGAGAAAAATTGCATTTTCTATTCTATTCCAAAATAAGAGCGAGCAGTAATATAAAAACAACAACCAACACTTGCTTCTCAGTATTCTACAATCCGGAAGATAACATCAAAATCTTCTGATCAAATAATAAATTTCTTCTCCTATGCTGAATACTATCCTGCAATCTAATTACACCCCCTCAACACTTTTAGATATTTCTTTGAAAAACTGATAAGACCAATAAGATTTCAAAAGAATGATCGTTTGAATGAGAATTGATTAATGTGGCCACACTTACCAATATTTGCAATGAGGAATTTTTTATGAGGAATTTCCAAGTGATTTGCTTTAGGTTTGTGTCTTAGCTGTTCAGCTGTTTATTTACTTTTCTTTTTGACATTTATCTAGGAATGTCAGTGGCATAAATACATAGTTGATTTTCCTCGCATCGAAGTATCGCGACTTACATCGATATTTGTCGATGTATCGGAGGGCGTGCATCGATGCATCGATACGCTGAGAGTTTTCTTCCACTATGGAAATTAAACATTTCGAACATTTCTGTGTATGCAGTTTTACAGCTCATTAAATTTTAATATAACAAAGTACAAGTAGCCAAATAAAAAAATATTAAAAATCAAAACAATTGAAACTTGCAGTGTATTATACTAAAATTTTATAAGTTATAAAACTGCATTTTGCTTTCTTTAAAGGTAATCGCACGAGGCGATTTTGCGTTCAACTTTTGCTTTCAACTCACGCAGGATTGCAGGAAAAAAAAAAGTTGAATGGCTAAATGTTGGCTGGCGACCAACTTTGTTGAAAGCGATTAGTTGAAAGGCCGTTCAACCAAAAGTAGAATGCAAAGTTGAACAATGCAATGCATTTTTTTATATTTTGATATTTTTAGCCATTCATTTTTTTTCGTGCAACCCTGCGGGAGTTGAAAGCAAAAGTTGAACGGAAAATCGCCTCGTGCGAACACCTTTTTTGATTTTCAGCCAAAGCAATGTTTGGCCGTTCGATGTACTAGATATGCCAGTTTACAGAAAACATCGATGCATCGACTATGTAAAAATCGAGTGGAAAAATTTCGATATATCGAAGCAAAACATCGATATTTTCGATGCATCGATGTTTTTTCGAAATCCCTACATTTAAAACCCTTTGAGAAAAAACGCGCTTGTGGAAGATCAAATTTCTGCCCGCATAGTAAACAAAACTTCGATTGTTATTAATTACAAATAACAATGGCTACAACTGATGAGAAAGTAGATGCCAAGCCCAACATACTAATTACAGGTATGAATGGCGGCTTAAGGCCAGCACCGTTGAAGTGTCCGCACTCTACTAAGTACATAAATATTAATTATGATTTTAGGAACACCTGGTGCAGGAAAGTCTTACTTATGCGAAAGAATAGCCGAGCAATTAAAACTCAATTGGCTAGATTGCTCCAAAATTGCGAAGGAAAACGATTTTGTTGAGGAGTACGATGATGAATACGAATGTCCTCTACTGGATGAGGACAAGGTATTTAAGTTATTATTTTAATGCTACAATAGAAAGTAAATAATTGAATGTTTTAATTGTCTATAGCTTATGGATTACATGGAACCTTTCATGCAGCAGGGTGGCAATATTGTCGAATACCATGGCTGTGATTTCTTTCCAGAACGTTGGTTCCAAGCTATTTTTGTTATAACTTGCTCGAACACACAGCTTTTTGATCGACTAAAAGAGCGCGGATACAATGAAAAGAAACTTAAATCTAATCTTGAATGTGAAATTTTCGGCACAGTGCTGGAAGAGGCTCGTGAATCTTATAAACCAGAGATTGTTTTTGAATTAAAAGGAGATACTAAACTGGATGCTGAACAAAGTTTGAAAACTATTAAGAATTGGTACAAAGCATGGAAGCGGAAGTAGTTTGTTGTTGTGGTACACACGCACAATTGATTATACGAATTATTTTTAGGAAAATAATAAACGCTTGTATCTACATACAGTGTCCGACAAAAGTATTGGCACGTGATTGTTTCGGAATTCATATAAGCAAAGTTTTTTATTGTTATTTATTTTCGAAAACACAAACATAAAACCTTTAAACTTTGTACAAAACTCAGGAAAATTCTATATAACAAATTGAAAGTTTGAGGATGCTAGAAAACTGCGTTCATTTTTGGCAAGTTTTTTAGTGGAAGATATTGCTCATTTTCTCCATACATAAAATCATTGTTCTATACTTTGTATGAAAGAACGTGCATGAAACAAATTGCTAAAAATCAACATGATTTTTTAGCAACTTCAAACTTGCACTTTGTTATACCAATATTTAATGGCTATAAAACTGCATACTTAGAATTTTCTTAAAAATCTGAATAGAAAGTTGCAGATTAGTGTGCAAATGTATTGAATTTTCCTGAGTTTTGCACAAAGTATAGAGATTTAATTTTTAAGCTTTTGGGGTAGAATGCATTGAGTTTTTATTAAAAATTATCGAAAATAAATTATAATAAAAAACTTTGCTTATATTGCGAAAAATTCACTGTGCCAATACTTTTGTCCGGCACTACATAAAAAAATATGTACCATACTTCCTTTTGATATCAGAAATAAACTTGTGTCATAAATTTACTTTTGTTGCAAAATATTGAAAAAAACTCCAAAAATATTTGTTATATAAACATATATGTATTTATTAATTTACTATGAACTACGTACTATGCTTTTGCGATGAATTTTAAATATATATGTACAATATACTGCATCACTCCCCATACAAAAAGAAAAAAAATCGGTACTGAGTTTCCATTGGAATTATGAAATCTATTATATGCAGATTTTTTAAGTTTAATCTGTTTTTCATCTGAGGGGATTTTTTTCAAAAAGTTCTTTAAGAAACTATTTTTATTCATAAAAACCTCCATTTTTGGAGGTATTTTCAAATCGGTCTAGCTCACGTAAATATTAATATTTTTCCGAAATATTTTGGCGGTGGAAAAGCCGCAACTTCTTTTGGTGATGCAATCATGCAATGGATCTAACCAGAATGTATAAAACGGGGCGAATCGTTTTGTGCTGATGAAAATTTAATTGGCGTCAATGACGGATGACAACCGAACTTCAGTTGGGTTGCCAGTGGCTGAAATGGTATTACAGATGCCAATGGGCTTTGATCGCTGTTACTTTATTTTTATTTATTATTATTATTATTATATTATCTTCAACTCTATACCACTTAACTATAGTTGCGATTTATAATATATACATTTTCATTTCAGGTTGCGTTGCTGTCCATAATCGGCCCATTAATATCTAACAAAATGAAATTAAAACCATGACTTAACTCCCACTATTCGAAAAATAAAAGCTTTTGACTTCGTTCGATGATTAAAAAAAAAAAATCCCGTTCAATCGATTCACATTCTCGAAGTTATTTCCAAGCTGCAGTCGAAAATTGAGCTAACGAATTTTCCTGCCCTGAATCTGCTAAGGCAAATATTGTTTTTTTCAATACTTTCGAGCATCTATCCAATTCTAGTCATCTTGAACCGCAATGGCCCATCTGGAGCGTACATAAATGTGACTGCATAATCCAAAGGTTTGTGATTGTATTCCAATTTGTAATTTCGAAGAAGCTGTAAAAATGGTGAAATAGAGATGATTTTTAATAAATATACATGCATACATATGTACGTATGTCTGTTCGTACATTTTGCTAGTTTAGAGTGAAAAGTTGCTAAGTCCACTTTCTAAAAATTTATATTTTGAACAATTAAAAATTCTTCGTTTTATAAAAACGAGGTTTTATTCCTAACAATTTCTATTCAGTGATACACAGAAAATTTGATAAGTCTAAAGGAGAACAAAAACTTTTCATCAACGTTGTGGAACGTGATTTATTTTGTTGTTTTGCCTTAATTTTTCTAATTTGGTTTTTGGTAGTTTTTTCTCTGGTTTGGCTGTTTTTATACCCGAGCGCACTTGTGCACAAGGGTATTATAACTTTGTT